CCCCTTAATTGGTTTAGTGGTGGAGTTGGCAGTGTGAAGTTAATGGTTGGACTGGATGCTCTTAAAGGTCTTTTCCAACCTAAACGATTCAATGATTCCATGGGTTAGCGGGTCTAAACAAAAGCGCACCATTCTAGGCGTGCTTCTCCTCCTCATCCCCGACCTGTGCTGCTGCATTAGGCTTAAGCTGGATTGTTTCTTCATTGTTTTTCTTTTTTAGCTTCACATGCATCTGGCAGAGGAAAGACCCTTTAAAAGAAAGGAGCGTTTTATGGACGATGCCAACAGATTCGCAAGGGTGCTTTAAAACACATCCCACCCCCTCTGCCTTATCCTTCCCCGTCTGCCTTGTCTTCTCCGTGCAGTCCTCCAAGCTGCTTCATTTCCTTGCTCTCCTGGAAGTCTTTTCTTCTTATTTTCTCTTTTTCCCATCTTCCTATCTCTCTTCTCTCCCCAGAAGTTCACCGGTGAACAGGGAGGACGGCCCCTTCGGTGGCACAGCTTGCTGACTTCACCCCGAGGTCAAGCCCAGCTCCCCGAGGTGTCAGGGCTGGACAGCATCCCTGGCTGGGGACAAAGCCCCTCTGAGCTGGAAAGGAGAGAGCTTCGGGGCTGGGACAGAGCCCACGAGTCCAGGAGAGCCCCTTGCTGGTGTCACCGCTGGTCCTACCAGGATGTCCTGCCCAGGGCTTTCACCCAACAAGTGTCAAGGTCTTCCCACTGCAGGTAAATCAGTGCAGCTCAGTCTGGTTTTTCTGGACTGTGCACGCAATTTTGGCACAGATGCCATGATGAGCGACCCTCAGCTCTTCCCATGGCAGAAGCTCGGTCCCCACCGACATCCCGCTCCTGGGCATCACCTCTGCTCCAAAAATCAGCGCTGCTGAGAGAGGCAGGGCACAAAACCTGCAAAGCTGGTGGGAGAGGACGTCACTGGAGGAGGGTGGAAAGAGCTCCTGGGTCTGCAGGGTGAGGTGGACCAGCATGGTCTCGGAGCAAGCCCCAGGAGAAGCTGCCAAACTCCCATCTTCACAGGCAGAAACATGTTCTGCCTTCAGCAACATGCCCAAAACCTCCTCCTTGCCTGCATGCGGTGTTTAGGAAGGGGACTTCTCTTATTGCCTCAAATTTATCTATAAATTAGCAATCCCTACCTTGGCTCATTTATTGCTGTTTCCTCCTGAACGTGTTCTCTGCAACGATGTTCTCCATGGAAGAGTGAAGAAGACTGATACATACTCACTTTCCAGAATAATTTTCCTCGTTTGGAAACGAGGAAAATAATACTCCACTGGGATAATTTTAAGGGGAAAATGCATCAAGGATAGGAAAATGCCAACAAGGGAAAATACTCGGGACTCTGCTATGGAGAGGAGAAGCTGTCCCTCAACCAGGTCAGACCATCTCTGTGAGATGGTTTGACCCAAAATTTTCAGTGAGGAGGCTCATCCACCCCAGATGCCCCTCGCCCCAGGACAGGCTGCATTTTCCGGGGAACCGATAGCTCTCCTGTGCTCAGAAGAAAGTCGTTATAGATGTGTAAGACTAGTGCTGCGGAAAAACAGGCCTTTACTTAAAGCCCGAGCTTGGACCATTGCCTGGCTTGGTGTCTGTTTCCTATAAATTTCAGAGAATCCCATAAACCATAGAAATTCAGTGCTTGCTGCCAGCGTGCTTTGCTATTTATTGGAGAAGGGGTTGGATGAAACCCCCTTATCTGAGCACCCCTAACCTCCGGGAGGTGGGAAACGGGGGCTGTAGTTTGGGGCTCCCTTCGTAGGGGACACATCCAAGCCCCAGAGGTGACCTCCATCCACATGGGCCAGCAAGGGGAGGTGGAGGGAGGGACCCCTGTGCTGGTGATGGGTGCTGGTGGGACCTGGGGGTGGTCCATCCCCCTGAGGGGAACACGTGATGGCTTTGCTGCCACGGAGTCATCCTCACCCCAAACCTAGGACACCTCCAAGAAATGCATGAAGAAGGGGGTACATCAAGGCCACGGCTGGTGGAGCTCTGGAGACAGCTTAATCTTCTTCAAGCCAAGAGGCCTCCTCAGATACAGGGATTACTCTACATCAGTGAAAGGATGATAGCAAGAAGCAATGCGCCACATGGCAAAGATCCACTGACCCTTTGGCATGCTGTCTGACCTGTCGCCTCCCAAAACCAAAAGCAGAAGTGCTTCATCTCCCTGGACAAGGGGGCCTGAGATGCAGACTGGCTTTGGGGAAGGGTGCCCAAGCTTGTGGGGGTTGATGCTCTACTACTGTGGTGTGGCCACAGCTCTTCCCTGAAGGCAGGGGCTGTGCTGGGGGTGGTCAACACCTGGTCAACACCTGGGCTGGTTTCCACCACCTTCTGGGCTGGTAAGCACTGGAGAAAGGCTTCATCCTCAGTGTTGTGTCTCCAGAGAGCTGCTTGCTGGAGCTCTGATGCCTACCATGGAGTCCGTGAACAGATCTCAGCACTGACCCAGCACAGCAGCTATTAACTTCTCTGTCTTGGGGGTGGGAACATGATGCAGGAGCCCCTCAACCTCCTTCCTCCAGAAGGGACACGTCCCCCGGGAATGTGCTTTGCTGAACAAATCTGGCATCAGGGCTTGGTCCTCTACTGAAGCCCAATTCAACTGTCCCAGGCTCCTTGGGATAATTTGCTTGTTTAATGAGTGCTTGGCACTGGCCAGTGAGAAAAGCCCACTTTCCTCTGCTCCGGGGAAGGAAAGGAAACCGCAGTCCCGAAGCACGTTGTGGTTTGGGTTGGCAGACCTCGGTGTTTGATGTGCTGCCAGGAACATCTCGGTGCCGATGTCTCCCTTGCGTTAGCACCCATCCCTGCAGCACTCACGCCTTTGCGAGGCTTGTGCCAGGGACGTATCCAGGGGGTTGGTTTGACCTCCTGCAGCATCAGGCCAGGCATTTTCACCCTGCAGCTCAGATACAAGTCCTGCAACCCCACAACACCATATCTGCAGGCCAGAGTTACCTCCAAAAAACCCAAGAGAGAGCGCTGGAAAACAAGCATGAAATGCTGGTTTCTCTATTCTTGCAGCACGTAGGGCTCTGCGCCCCACTGGCAGCCTCTGCCTTGGTAGGAGAATGGAGACCTGTCCCAGCTACATCAGCCCAGCAACCCTGGTCTTCCAGTTAGATGGGATGTGGTGACAGCACCCAGCAGCGTTCTTCAAGACTACACAGCACTGCATAAATACCATCTAACCAGCCACGTGGCCTGGAGAGCCATCTCCAGCAGCTATCAGGCCCCAGGAGGTCAGCTTGTGCCCAGACTGGGGTGACTGGGAGAGCGGTGGGATGAACAGAGCCATTGTGTCAGTAGGGCAGCGATGGCTTGAGGGAAA